AGAAAAGTGTACTCTACACTTTTACTTAAGAGTGTAAAGTAAGTTGTGACAATAACTTTTGTGTAATAAATAAAATTATAAATTCTGAAGGCCAAAGGCCGGCAGTATGTTTTTCTCAATGAGTTTAAATCTTAAAGACTTGAAACTTTCAGAATAAATGTAAAATTTAGTACTGAACAGGTTTACTTAAGAGCCAAAAGCAAGTTAATTTAGTAAAATAAATAGTTATAAACGTTTTGTACAAACAAATATTTAGTTAAGATTTGTGTAAAGAATTTGCAGAAAGAGTCCAATTTAAATTCTTCAATCTTGTAAATTTAATTTAATAAAATAGAATATTATTAATTTTCAATTTAATAATTAATATCAAAATTAATAATTAAATTTTTAATAAAATAGAACATGATTGTAAAATGTTTTTAATAACATCAATCATAAAAAAAAAAATAATATTTCAACATGACTACTAAATTATAAATAAGAACAAAATATAGTTCTGGTAGAAGAATCAATAAAATTTGGGATTATTTTACCCGAGGAGAAAAATATAATAGTACATATTATAATGCCAACTGTAATTATTGTAAAACAGATTGTATAAGTGAACCGAAAAAAATAGCTATCCATCTCATACATCAATGTGAACCAGCATTAAAATCAAAGGAATATGAAATTTTTAAAAATATTTCTGCTAAATATATCTATAAAGAAGATGAAATATTAAGAAGAACAATTAGAAATATAATCAATAAAAAAAATATCAAGAAAATTAAAAATTACCATTATTACTTCCAAAATTATTAACTACAAATCCATCAAATCCAAAATTATTATTTCCAAGTACAACATTTCTAGAAAAAACATATGAAAATAACTTATTATCTCCAATTATTGAACAGAATTCAACAATAAATGATAATATATATAAAATTTCAAATATTAATAAAACATCAAATAATAATATTAATAAATTAGTCGAAATTTATAGTGATAATGATGAAGATAGTATAATAGAAATCAATAATAATATTAATAATACAATAAAAATTAACAATTCAATAAAATTTAGCAATAATAATAATATTATTAAATCAGAAATTGACAATATTTTTATCGAAAATATTAGAACTAAAATTAATTATTGATAAAAAACTTTCTAAAGCATTACTTTCAGCAAATATACCAATTTCTTGTCTAAAAAACAAACAAATAATTGAATTTCTTAAAGAATTAAATCCAAATTATAAAGTTTCAACACCTTCTGAATTATTAAATAGTCTTGATTAATATTTTTTATAATTCTTTTATATTGTATATTTATCTCTTTTTTTTATTAATATATTGTTATTATTAATTATAAAATTTTATAAATATCATAATTTTTTCTTTATATTTTTTATTTAAAAATGTCTTTTGTATTTCCTGGAATCAATAAAACTTTTAAAGAATTTGTTGAAAAATTATTAGATATTAAATTTGAAGAATTTGATAAAATAACAAAAAATGATAATGAAAAAAGACGTAAAGAAAAAGGCTTTGAATATTTTCTTTATGAATTAGTAAGACATAATGAAATGATTGTAGAAATGAACCAAACATTTATTTCATTCTCAAAAACAATATTCAAATCATTATCAGATGGATGACAGATTTACATGATAAGCAATCATTTACTTAGTATTGATCCACTTTTATAGTTGAGTGAGCAAACAGACTAGTGGTGTCTATTCATAATGTAAATTCTATAAGGCTCAACTTGTTTAAATCACCTATAAATTTTAATAAATATAAACTGAATAGAATTATAGTACTTATATAGTTGAGTGAGCAAACAGACTGGCAGTGTCCATTCATAATGTAAATTTCGTGAGGCTCAACTTGTTTGAATCACCTATATATTGCTATCTATAAGTTTTAAGGAAATGATATACTAATAATTATTTTTAATTAGGTCAATGTCGACAATTACATTGGTTTGCTCAATGTAAATACAAGAGTGAAAATTATAAAATTTATGTTTCTGAAATAAAGAATTCTTAAATACTGCTAAAAGAAAAACAAATTATAATGTTGCATTTTTTGTTTCTAATGTTGGATTAACTGATTATGCAATCAATGAATTAAAAAATTATACAGATGATAAAGATAAAATTTGTATTTGTCTTATTCAAGATTTTATTCCAAAAATTCATGAACATGAAAATATATTTTTAA